TTTTTTTTTTTAGCATTCTATTTAACACGTGAATTAATCTTTTATTAGACATTCATTCCCAATTAGGATATTTTAAAAAAATAGCAAAGATCAGGTTCCGCATGGAGTAGAACTACCACGAGGAGGTTATGGTGAGGGGTACATATAGCTTTCCCGTTCACACTGCCCGCTCTTTGGTGGTACTTTTGAGTTTCTTTTTGAAAAACGATAATAGCTGTTGGCTCACATTTGAGTTTTTTTTTGAAAAATGATAATAGCTGCTGGCTACCTTCTGCTCATACCTTTTTTTGGAGGGTGTTTGGAAACTACAAAGATAGCAGATTTGGAAGTATTTCCAAGGTGATAAAATAATGACTTTGTTCTAGTAGCACATGAACATCTTTTTTTTTTTTTTTTTTTTGGTACCAGGGATCAAACTTAGGTCCTTGTGCTTGCGCAGTAGGTGGCAAAACCACTGAGCTAAATCCCGGGCCCAAGCACATGAACATCTTAAAAGTGAAATTATTTGAAGTTCTGAAAGCCAGCTTTCAGTAGAAATCCTAAAAACTAGAGAAAAAACAATCAGAAAAGGGATGATGGTAGTGTTGAGCATTTACTTGTAGCTTATGGAATGCAAATGACTTCTGAAAGAGCCCAGATTACTTTGTTGATTGTATTTTGTTCCTTTAAAGGTACGTCCTTTCCACATCTGCTGACTTCACACAGGTGGCAGAACTTGTGGTGTACAGAGCTCCTTTATTATTCATGGTCATGTCGGTGTGGAGTACTGATTCTGTTCCTGAGTTGATGAATTTGATACTAGTGCACATGTAAAGTGTATGGTTATTTGTTTGTTTAGTTTTTTGAGACAGGGTCTTGCTTTCCAGTTCAGGCTGGCCTTCAGTTTTGTAGCCTACATCAGCATCCTAAGTGCTGGGATCACAACCATGTGCTACCATGGCCTGGCAATATGTATTAATATTTACACAGCCAATCTAGCTTACAGGAGTTGAACCTTCAGAATTTGTGTATAATTTCTATAAAATTTGCCTATTTAAAAGCTGGAATTAGGAAGAAATTCAAGAAAATGGTGTCATGTCTTAGAAAAATTCATAAACATTTCTGAGTAAGGTGCTTAGGTATGAGTGCAATAAAAAGCTGGCATAGTTAAGTCAAGGTGGGTTAGCACAGACAATATTACAAACTCAGAAAAATTATACAGTGTGTTCAACAAGGTTTCTTTTCATCTCTTGCTTCCTGGGTAGGATAAATATGAATTGGGTATTTCTAAATTAGGAGTATTACCAGCCCCATACCCTATATACTCTAAGGGACCCTCTTGTGTATGGAAATGTTTTGTATTAGGTCAAGAAATAATGACTATTGAAATTCGATTTTTTACTCCCCCCCCCAATAAGTTTATTGGTACATTTTAGGTATAAAATACAGTTAC